GTGTGTTCTCACAGATTTAACCTGTGTGGGGCTGGAGGAGGAGGAGCGAGGAGAGGAGGAGGAGGGGGAGGAGGAGGAGGAGGAGGAGAGGAAGAGAAGGAGGAGGAGGAGGAGGAAGAGAAGGGAGGTAGGAGGAGATGAGAGCGGAGGAAGAGCATGATGCGCGGAAGCAGAAAATGAGAGGAGGAGATGACTGAAAAGGGCAGGAGGGGAGGAGGACATCGGGAGGCAGAGGAAGAAGTGAGGAGGAGGAAGGAAGAGGAGGAGGAGGAGGAGGAGGAGGAGGAGGATTGAGCAGGCGAGAAAGAGCATGATGGGGAAGCAGAAAAAGAAGGAGGAGGAAGATGAAAGGGAGGAGGGGAAGGAGGAAGGGGAGGAGAGGAAGAAGGAGGAAGATGAGGAAGAGGAGGACGAGTAGGAGGAGGAAGTGGGGGAGGAGAAAGAGGCGTCGGATGGGGGAGGAGTTGGTCGTATTGGTGTAGTGTATTGGTCATGGTATGCGCACCTACCTCATCGATGTCGTCTGACCTATGGGTTCGTTCGCCAGTAACTGTTGGGCGTCGCTAATGTTCTGTATCGGTACGACTTGCATGGCCGGCCGCGTGCGCCTCTGGTGCGTGCGTGCGTCCCGCGTGCCGTGCTGCGAGGCGTTGCGTCGGCGTGCAGCCCGACCACCTACCTCATCGAGTAGAGCTATCTGACCGTTGGGTTCGATTCGCAGTAGCTTGTTGGGGCGTCGTAATGTCGTGTATGTAACGACTTCGCGCCCGCTTCAGGAAAGAACGTATCCGGTTTCCAGATGCAGAGGCTAGAGTCTGGATGCTCACGACAGCGTCTATCTTGTTATAGTTGTAGGGCTTCAGGAACGCCAGTCGGGCTAGCCCTCCACATCTGAGCGGAAGTAAAGCAGTCGAATTGATAAAATCGCAAGAGATGCCGAGAGAACGTGAGTGGCGAAGTGTGTGTGGATAGCAGGCGCGAAAATAGAGGGAATTGATAAGGCGAGGGAGATCGATCGTGCAGCAGAGGTGCTGTGCTAAAGACGAAGAGAGAGAGGAAAGAAAGAGAAGAGAGAGAGAGAGACGAGAGAGCAGAGAGGTCGAGAGAGAGAGAGAGGAGCAGAAAGACGGGGGAGCAGAGTGACGAGAGGTGAGAAGAGTTGAGAGGAGAGCAGGGCGAGAGAGGAGAGAGAGCAAAGAGGAAAAGAGACCGAGGGGACGAGACTCGCGCAGACGAGCCCGGAGGAGCGATCGTGCGGGGAGAGAGGTGTGCTGGCTAAGACGAGAAGCAAAAGAGAGAGAGAGAGAGAGAGAGAGAGGTGTGTAGAGAGAGAGAGGAAAGATCAGAGAGCGCAGAGAGAGAGCAGAGACAAGACCGAGCGAGAAGAGAGGAGAGAGGCGAGCAGAGAGAGAGACGAGAGAGATCGAGAGACGGTGGGAGGAGAGAGGAGAGAAGAGAGAAGAGAGTGAGAGAGAGAGAGAGAGAGAGAGAGAGAAGAGAGAAGAGAGAGGGAGACTGCAAGAGAGCGGAGGAGCGAGTGCGAGAGAGGTGTGTGTAGAGTACATGAGATAGAGAACACGAGATAGAGACGGAAGGAGAGTACTGTGTGTGAAAAAAAGGTGTGAGTGTTGAGACCGTAGCGAGGGAGTTGGGATCGACGTATGGAGTGGCTTTTCTGCACAGGTGACGGCTCTGTAGAGTTTGTGCAAGTTTCCGAAACTTAGTATGTGAAAGGGCAAGAGTGCGTCTAAGCTAAACAAACGATAAAGTCAACGATAAAGAAAATAATGAGGCAAAGAAGACGATTATGAAGAGAAAATCAAAAGAAAAAGAAAAAAAAAGAATTAGTAAGCAGCAGACGAAGAATAAGGATAATAAGGGAAAATAAGAAGATTATAAATAAGATAGAGGAAAAGAAAAATGAGAGGAAGAATTAGGAGAAAAAAATAACCAAAGCAAAAAATAAAGATAGGAAGAAGTAAAGTAAAAAGAATAAAAAAAGTAAAGCAATGAAAGCAACCCTCGACGAATAATACTACACACACAAAAACACAAAGAAGAACGATAAGAACATGAAAAAGAAGGGGGAAAACGTAACCGAAAGAAAAAAAACGAAAGAAAGCGACGCAAACGATGACGATGACGAAGCAGACGATGTTAGGCCGCTGTTTAATAAACCGTGTTGGCCACGTGGCTGGCGACCGTGCCGCGCTGCAAGGCAAGCCTCGTTACCGCCAAAGTCCAATAGCTCGGCAACCTAAATAACTGTGAGTGCATCCGATCACGTGATCTGAGGTCACGAGAGCAGACGGAAAAACAGATGGCGCGCGCGAGGCCGCGTAGCAACGAAAATCTAACAAGCGGTAATCAGTCTCGTGTGGCTAGAGAGAGAGGCGAATAAGTGAACTATATGGAACTACTCTCTGGAGAGAGAGAGAAAGAGGGCGAGAGATGAAAAGAGAGGCGAGAGAGCTCGAAATAGGAAAAGGGAGGGTAAAAAGAGAGAAAGACAGACAACAAAGATAAAGACAAACAAACACACACACACACAGAGACAGACATAAATAAATATAGATGGGGCGAGAGAGAGAGAGAGAGAGAGAGAGAGAGAGAGAGAGAGAGAAAGAGGAGAGAGAGAAAGGAGAGAAAGGAGAGAGAG